AATTTACCAGAATTTATTTTCTGGTAAATTCTGAAGAAGAAATTAATCTTTGATACATTCAGAAGGTGCTTTGATTTTGTGATATATCACAGAGTAAGCTCTGTAGGTTATCTGCACATATCCTGTGCAGGAGCCACTGCTAGGAAACAAAGAACAACTGAAACTGTCAGGAGTACAGGAAGCCAGGGGCAAGGATGAAACCACAGGAAAAAAATTAGGAACAATCCTAAAAAACTAGGAACAATCCCCATAGATGTGTCAAACACTGTGTAAGAGCTTGAGGTGGGGCTAGGAAAAACCCAAAATGAATCAGATGAAGGGATGTCAGTGATCAGCTACAGCATCCCATGTTCAAATGCTCCTGGTGGAGGAATGGGATCTTAGCAGCTGAGCAAGGAGCCAAGGCTGGGAGGTGTAAGGAAAAACAGCATCTGCCACAGAATTGCTGCTTTTGTGGTTTCCATCCATGCTGCTCACTTTGGGCTTTAGATGAGGAACCTTTTGGGGCCATCTGTGGGATGGGAGCAGACCCTGCTGCAGCTGGACTTTTGTTTGGCAGCTTGAGTGTCACATCCTCTGTGGCACTGGGGAAGGGAGTCTGTAAAATAAGCCACTTCCACCTACATTTATCCTGGCTCCTTTCACTTATCCATTCCTAGATAAATTCTCCCAAACCTGGTGCCAAAACTGTAAGGTGCTGGTCAATTTTTGTAAGGCTGCCTGAATGACTCACCTCATTTCTCAGACTGCTGATAAAACAGGGGGGAAATTAAAAAAAAAAAAAATCTAGTAGGATCAAAAGCTTTTGGCAAGCTGAACTGTCCTTTTGTAGGCACAATAACTTCTGGCTGAGGTGGGTCTGCGAAACATGAGGCTGAACTCATGCTGAGGTGTCTTGGGTTGGATTAGAGGGATTCAGGTTGAAGAACAAAGTCCTGTCTGCAGAAATGAACGAAAAACCTGGCCTCAGGCTCCCCATTCCTGACTGCTTCAGATAGAGGTGAGAAAAGACAAGAAATTTTCTTTCACACCACAACCAGGAAAGAGAAGATTGGCTCTTTCATTCAAATCATTTTAATTCAGCAGGTTGCCTTTAAAATAATTTCAGGAAAAGCACTCTCTGGGCAAAAATTTTGTCTTAATTTTGCACACATGTCCTATCAGATTCAACAGAAAGGTTTTGCCTGCTCAGAAGGTGCAGCTCAGACGTGATCTGCAGCTCAGCAAGAGCTGAATGCTCTCCTGGGCAGGAGGGGAAGAAGAACCCAAGGGAGGACCATGAGGTGAGGTGGTGTGAAGGAGGAAAGTGGATGTGCTCAACTGGAAGGAATGGCAAAAGGCCTGTCTGGCCCAGCTGGAGGGTCATTTAGGGCCATTTTTCAGGGCCTTTTGAAAGAACAGACCATGGCTGAGAGACGTTAAAATCTATTTGGAGGGTGTGTTTAAAAACAAGGTTGTTTTTGGAACCAAAGCTGAACTTTAGGAATCTAGAATTAAAGAAACAGAGGTGGAGTGCAGGGAGAAGTTGGAGAAATGTTCATCCCTTTTCCCGTGGCCAGGCTGATTTTGTCAACACCTTGTTTTCAACACAACTACTAGTAATTTGAGTCATTTATACAGTTTGCTCTTGATATGTGCATACTTTGGAAGAGAAAAGCATTTCTGGTGGTTCAACTATTTGATCCTATGTAGGGCCTGATTAATTTTTTTTTTCTGTGTTAATTACAAATCTCCCCTTAAAATTTAAGTACAAAACCCAATAGAGATCATAGTAAGCATTGCACTCTGTCATCTGCTCTTATAGCACCAAAACCCCCAGTGAAACAGAGGCAGTAAAGAAATGGAACAGCATAATAATTTTGATCTGTGCTTCTTGTTTTTATGACTGACCAGCAGGACCACAAGAAAATCCTTTAACTTTTCTTTCTGCAGTGACAAGACAATTTTAATACTTCTACTGAATTTCATTTGGATTAATAAGTTTCTATAAAGTGCTTTGATCAGTTTGTTTTAACACAAGGCATGACTGAAGCAAGGCCTGCTTTTGATTCTGTATTTTCTGGTGCTGAGATGAATGCTGATAGAACAAAAAAAGAAGAGGGATACAAGAGAAACCTGGAAAAATGTTTTGCACATTCTCTGTATGCTTTCTCTTCCTTATTTTTCCCCAAGGAAGTAAAAGTGTACTGGCAAAAAGTAGGATATTTAGCCAGTTTTTTACAGAGGAGAAAAGCAAAATTGCTGACTGAAAAGTAGGACAATTCTACCAAAAGTAGGGCAGCTTACTGCACGTTAAGTACCTTTGGATTATGTGCATTGTATCACGCCTGCTTTGCACACACAATTAGTTCAAAGTGGGGCTCCCCACATGAGTTCACAGAGGAAGATTTATCTCAGCAGATAAAGCTGCAGCAGCACACATCAAACGGGGTCACAACACACCCGCCAAGAAAATAATCTGGAGAGCAGCTACAACTGCCTGACCTCATGTGGAAAGGGAAAATGTCACTGGTGCTTAGGCTTGAGATCAAATCAGATGGGAAAAGTGATGCTGGAGCAGGTCACAGAGACTAAAATTCTAAAATTTGTGCTTGGAATGACTGCACAACCTGTGAAGTTTTAGTGCCTTTAAGGATGAGATGTTTTCAATGTCGACAAAGGGTGCAAAAGTCAACACAATGGAGAGTTTTTTAAATGGATTTTTTTCATAAAGTGTTAATGGATAAATGACTTGTGGGGGTTCAGGTGGCTCTTGGTGGGCAGTCCTTCCAGGCACCCTTGTCCAGAGCAATGGACCTGCAGTAAATCACGCGTGGGCTGATATTTTACATTCCATAAGGAAGGGCGCGGCAGCCCTTGGGCTGTGTCCTCTCAAAGTGCAGGTCCAGGTACAACACTCCTGGCTAGACCTAGGAAGGAGCCCTGCTCCAGAGAACAACCTGGAGCTTTGAGTTTGGCTTCTCACGGTGCACATGGAGGGTTAGCAGGGCACCCTGAGGCTTGAAGCAGAAGTAGAAACCCAGCATGATCTGAAGACTCATTTCCTGACACAACTCCTCACACATTTTATCCTGTTCCACTTGAAAATTGGCTTACACAGAAATATCTGTGATTTCATTCATCTGAAACACGATCTGACAGTGCAAAAAGTATGTGGGAGGGTGGAGGTGAGGGCATATTAGGATGCAGAAATGTAGTAAAACTGCAGTGCACTACTCCTTTCTTTCAAAATAAATAGGTATATTTGCAAGCAGGGCCTGCTTGGCCTGTCTGTCTGAACCAGTGACCTTCCAGTTTTATTTGTGTACAGTCAAAATGATGCTTCTATTAGCAAGAAGGAGGGGCCAGTGCTCTTGTACAAGGTTATCTACAGATATAATTTGAAAGGTGAAATTTCCCTCCATCTGTGTCAGAAAGAAATGCCAGCACCCAAGGCACAGAAAGCATTTTTTCCCTTTTTTCCCATAATTCCTTCTGCAAGTGAAAAATTATCACTATGCTATTTTTTTAAATTATGTTGTTCTAACCCTTATCCTGTTACTTTAGAGTTGATTTCTATTCACAGTACCTCACTTGTGCTGTAAGTAACTTCCACTTCTTGTGATTTTGCAAACATGAATGCATTCATTATGTCTTGATTAGGTGCTGGAAGGTCCAGCCACAACTATTTAGTAAGGCAGAATAAACAATTCCATTTCTGTATCTGTGCAACTTCATCAGTGCTAAGTACTTTTACAAATGCATTGAAATCATCTCTGATTTGAGTCAAGGTTACATAAATTAAAGCTTATTTAAGAATAAGAACTGTTCTTTCTGGCCGGCCCAAACCTCCCAATCCACAATGATACAAACTGTCATACATAGAATATTTCTTCTGCTGAGCATGATATAAATTATTGCTGATCATATTCCACTCTGCGTGATTCTTGCCCAACTAAACTTACTGCAGTGAGCAGAGATTCAGTTTTAAGGGAGGTTAATGCTCTGAGGAAATTAAAGAACCACGGACCACAGCCCTGATGAAGATTTGGGCTACAGTTATTAAAAACCATAATTTCAGCAATCCCAATATCTGTTCAGACCCTTTTAACCAGGCAGCTAAGCCATGTTTTCACTGAATGTGGTGACCATGGCTGGAGCTGTCTCCCCTAACTGAGGAGGCACTGAGGCACTAAAGGGGCACAATAATTTCTTTGTAAGCTCTGGGAATCTTTTTATTTCAGAGGTGCTCCCCACACTTTCATGAGTGTCCATTAACCTTGTACTTCTCTCCATCCATGTTTTTGGTCTTAAAGGGATTCATTTCCTCAGCTCATGGGAGAGGTTTGTATATTTACATATTTGGAGGTATCCAAGGGCAGGCTGGATGGGGTTCTGGGCAACCTGGTCTGGTGGAAGGTGGCCCTGGCCATGGCAGGGGACTGGAACTCGATGAATCCTTTCAACCCATTATGGGTTTCGATCCTATTGATAGGATTATGATCCTATTGGTTATAGTTCTTATTGATCCTATTGGTTATGGTCGATTTTGGATCTTATTTCTAAGAATAAAAACCACTGTCAAACATGAAAATTTCAAACAGGTGCAAGGATGCTTTGCTTTTTCTCAGGATAAGGCAGAGGTTGGTGATACAGTGAGGAAAGCTCATTATACAGAATAAAAGTGGGATCTGTTGACAGGAACTGCAGTTTGAGTGCTATCAAACATACCTTTATTCCCTTTTCCTCCCAGTCTCTTTGCTTTCACATGACTGCTGTTCAGAATTTCACTTTCAAATAAATATTTGGCACTTGCATCCAAAAAGACAAACAAATACGCAGAGAAAAATTTGCCTGAGTAAGCGAGCACTCCTATTCAAAATTCTGTGGCTAGATGAACGGATAAGTGACAACAGTGATGAATAAATAGTGCCTGGGCCTGCCAAAACCCAGCATTAGAAAGTATAAACAAAGCAGCACAGAAAACAGATGGATTCATTTTAAGTTTTATCCTTTTTCAGTCAAGAGATGCTAATGAGGCCACTTCTACTTTGCACTGTGACCCTGGCACGGCGTGTGCCAGCACCAGTGAGGGGATAGACTGGAGCAGCTGCCTTCCCCAGGGCCAAGCCATTATCGCCCAACTACAGAAAAACCCAGATCTTCCTGCTGAATGATGGCTGAAGAGAGCAAGCACCATCCCACACACATCACTCCAGGTATTTGTGAGTATCTGTGCTGGATTCATCACAGGCAGCAGAAAAGGGGGGATTTCCTTGCTGGGGCTGGCGGGGAGAGGAGGTGAGGTTGGTGCTGAGATGAACTGAAATCTAGTGAGGTTTTTACAGGCATGGGCTGTGAAACCTCATGAGCTGCTCCATCAAATCAGCCTGGTTTGCTCTGAGGGTGGCCAGGGCTCGGTGGGTATCGGAGGCAGGTGCAGCCTGCTGGGCAATTGGCACCAGAGCCATATGGCAACTCCTTCCTGAGGAAATCAGCCTTTGCTCTGCTCCTCCTGCAGCCCGAGGAACAAAGCCTGCTGTGAAAAATGGAACTTTCAGGGGTTTCAGTTTCAAATTGGTTAAAGCAAATTTTGAATGTAACGAAGTTATGCTTGAAATAAAACTCCGAATTTGAAAATTCTGTCTCTTTGGCAAGCTCTGGTGCACATATCCAAAATATAATATGTCTGGACAAAAAGCCAAGAAAAAGCATGTCTTTGTCTGCACATGTGGATTTGGATACTGTTCCTAGTAGGAAATTATAAGAGAAATAACATCTCCCAATGACAATTGACTATTCTTAAAGTTCTCAGGGGAAATTTCTAGCAGCAAGTCTCAATTTTTCTGTGGTTTCATCCCCCCCAGAGCCTGCTGCTCTTCTGCAGATTCTCCTCCCTGTGCTGCACCTCCCTTTCTCTATCGCCTTCTTCCTTGTGCCTTTGACATTGTTGACGTTATCCTTTTAGAAGAGTTGTTCCCCTGTTTTGCCCCAGAGCTCGCTCCTTGCATCATTGGCAGCTCAAACATATTTATTTATATTAAAAAAAAAAAACAAACATTACACAGAACTGATGTATCCAACCTGTGCTGCTAACAGATGAATTGGCTTTTCCTAAAACTACCTAAAGTCACTTTTCACACATATTTTCCTTCCAGGCACTGTGAAAAGTACTTCTGGTCTTTGGTCCTGTTCTGGGGAGCTCACATGTGACCCAGGTGTAATTACAGCCCTCTCAGCCAGCACTGGTGGGATCTGTGCTGGGACACCTGCGAGCTGGAACGTGTCTCACAGGTTGGAAAAAGTGCTTTATAGCTACATGAAAGGTAAAGTAGAGCTGTAAGATTACTTTAAAGGGAAGCCAGGAAAAACCATGGCTGTGACTTCTCAGCAAGCAGGGAATTTAATTCATAAAACACATTTGTTTGAAAACAAAAAATGCCATGCTCCCTGCTTTCTCATTCATTTTTCAGGTCATGTAACTCACCTTTGGTACACTCAGTTATCCAACAAGGGTTTTCATAAAGTAAGGTATTCATGTGTATACACACACTTTGAGGTATAATTTGCCTGCAGAAACTTTCTATTCCTGCACGAAGCTAAATGAAGAATTGACCCTATTTCTGACTGCACAAGAGCAGGAGGCCTAATGGCTCTGCTGTGCTTGGATATATTTGCTGAAAGGAGTTTAATAACATAATAATGTTGCTGCCTTCCGCTGTCATTTCTTAGGATATCTGTCATCTGGTTGATTGGAAAAAATTCCCAAAAGACTTCTGGCATTCTAGTCCATTTCCTAATCCAATCGTTTCATTACTTATGCAATTTTCCTTGTCCTGTGGGGGAAGGACATGTATATTATTGTTCATTCCATGCAGATTTGGAAATGAAAATCACATCATAGTCCCATTTCCCATCCTCCCCTGACCTTGGTTCCCTTTTATCTGGAAACTTGGAGGATGCCATCATGCTTGTGCTCTCTTACCAAGGAAATCTTGTTATCAGTATGGAGGGGTTTGATAGTTGGCTTGCAAGTAAAGCTGAGTTAATAGAAGAAATAACAATGATTTTTCAGTGAATTCATAGCAAGGAAGAAAAGGCAGTTAGCATGGAAACAGAAAAGAGATATGAATTTTTTTTTTTTTTAAGTTAGACTATGTGCATAAGTAGATATACTATACTTATACATACTTTATTAAATTTTTGTGTATGTACTTTATTAAGTTTTTGTAAAACTTTTGTCAATTATATTGACATTAGTTATTTTGTACTAATGAATATAATAAGTTATTGTGATGTAGTTAATGACTTAAGATCACCCTTTGTTAAGAGAGTATAAACTGGGGAACACACAGAATAAAAACTTTTTTCTTCTTAGACCCTGATCACATGTCTGTCTCATCCAACCTAACAGTGACATATCAAATAAATCAATTTTTTTTTTTATGAACACTGGAGGCTTTAGGATATTGCAGAAGAGCCATGCACCATGTTCACCACCCCAGCTGCTGAGTTTCCCTGATTGCTGTTATAATTTTGTTGCACTAATCAGCCACAAGATGATAATAGTCATGTAAGGCAAGCAATTACTAGGTTTCCTGGGATAGTCCAACCACAGGGACTATTCCTAATTTAAAGGAGCTGTAACTGCCAGTGCACATGTATGTATTTTTCTTAAACATTTCTAACTATAGTTATGAAGTGAAATAATAAATTGTATTCCCTCTTGTTCTCCTGCAGGGACTGTGCCTAAGCCTGGAATTACTGACATCTGTGTATCATTTCAGTGGTAAATTACAGCTGGGACATGCTAACCCCAAAGTGTGAGTAAGAGCTGCTCCTAAATGATTGGAAACTTCTTGGCAATTTGCTGTTGAGTTATAATAATTAGCTTAGTCTTCATTCTCTTTCGATAGCTGTGTAAAATTTGTGCTATTTCCTTAGCAGCAGAGTTGATTGTTTAATCAGCAAGAAGAATGGTTTTTCTGGTGAAGATTAGATCTCAGCTAAGCCTCATTTTGTGTTAATTGTCTCATTGACAACTTCCTCTCCTTCTCCCCTTCCCCCATATATGCAGAGGAGTGATGGAAACCTGGAATTAATATTTCCATGGAGACGATGTAATTTCCTGAGTTGCTCCAAAATAATCTGAATTTCAAAACTCTTTTACCTTCTAATTTGAGGAAAAGTATAATAAATAATACAAACATATTAATGGCTAAAACATATTATCTCATTTTAGATAGCTTGTGCCCAGTTATCTAATAATGTATTTGCGCTTGCATAACAAGAGGCTAAGCACAAAAAATACAATGGTGAAACTCAAAATTTGTGCTATTTATCTCTGTTGCCAGTAAATAAGATTAGAGTAAGTGTTTACACATCTGTTTAAATCTACTGTCCTTGAAACCAATTAATATAATGATGAATAATGAGTTTTTCATTTGTGAGATTGTGGGTGAATGGTAAAGAGGTTAGAAATCAACTTTCTTTCTCAAAATTAATAAGTTGCAGCCCTTGTATCCATGTCATAACTATCCAAGGGAAAGTAAAATTAAAGCTTTTTTAGTCAAGGGCTGAAAATTTAAGTAGCCCTCTAAGATTCACATGCTACTGTGAATTTTGCCTTTGACTGCCATATTTTGTATTGTTCGTGTAGCAGTAATTATGGGATAGCTCAGTTCACCATAGAAAACACATGTTTTAATAATTCTATGCTGCTTACCAGGAGCAAGATGAAATAAATGGGCCATGGGGCAGATGAATGAGACTTTTAATGCCTTTGTTAAGACTATCAATTGCTTAATTGAGAAGCCATAATCAAATTCAGAAAAACTCTTCCAAATCATCATCCTCTTTGGAGATGCCTGAATTCTGGAAGTTTGGAAAGCTTCTGAAACTTCTCAACAAATGCTATTTTGTAAGTGTGAAGTAGAATTTGAGGTATACCAGAAGAAACAGAAATGAGAAGCTATTTTTAGGAGATGACTCTTGTATATTGTATGTATAAAATATTTATAATTTTATATATGCAAGCACAGTGCTTAGGGACATGGTTGACTGGTGGATTTGGTGGTTTAAGGTTTGTGGTTGGACTTGATGATCTTAAGGGACTTTTGCAATCTAAAACATTCCGATTCTCTAAAATAAATGTTGCTGAAATTTAGATATATTTCCAAAATGCTGGGAATTTATACAGATTCCAGTGGTTTAAGATTATGTTATATGCAGGTCAAAAACATTGTTTCTTCTTATGCTACTTATTCCATTGAGTATTTATGTTCTACTTTACTCATCTTTAAGTGGTTTTCAATAAGTTGTACTGCAAGTGTCAGCTTCAAATAGTCTTTGACTGCTAACTGACAAATCTCTACCCTTTTGAGAGTACAGAAGAAATAATGTTCCAAAAATGGGAAGTATCATTATTATTTCACTAGTTATGCAAATTTGTTTCACAGTTCTTCTTTGCCTTTGTTCAGTTCTTTTCTTGAATGGTTTTTTTTCCCCTATGCTTCCAAATATTTGTTTGGAAGCTAATAATAATGATAATCTCGTAATAATAACAACAATAACAAGAATAATGATGTAACACTCTTCAGCATATGTGTCAGTTTAAGGACACTAATGATGTTGACTCTGTCCAGAAAAATCAACTTTACATGTGCCTAATTCTCATATTATTCAAGTATTTTCTTATTCCATAAATTTTCATATTCTTGAGATGCTTAATTTTCATATTAATTATTTTCTTATTTTGCAAATTTTCTTATTCTGTAAATGCTTAATTCTCATATTAATTAAGTACTTTCTTATTCTGTACATGCCTGTCTGGAAGAGAGAAAATTTAGAGTTAATTCAGTAGGTCTGAGAACACTGATGGAGTCTTAATTTTAGCATTGGTTTCTAGCTACATTATAATTGTAATTGTACAATTGTAGGTATTTCATCTTTTTAAAACACACCAGAAATAACTCTAATACATTTCTAGCACTAGTAATTATTCTGTGTTTACTTGCTTTTAATTTCAACATTTGCTCACTCTCTGGGAATAATCACAAGCACCAGAATTGTACAAGATTTCTACAATTAGGAGTTCCCTCCCTTCTACATCATAAGTTTAAATATTAATGGAAACAGTTTCAAAATCAGTTCCTGATTGTTTGTAGGCAGATCCCCAGTGACATATGGAGCTGGTATGAATGGTGGGGAGAGGAAAAGAGTTCAGTTAAAAGTCTTTGAGGACTTCCCAGAAATTATATTTTCATAGTGAGCATTGAACTTGGATTTCCCCTTATAGAAAACATTGAAATTAAAATGCATAGAAACTGAAATGGAGTTTGATAGATTAGCACAAGAGTTCTGTTCTAATTTAGAAGAAAACAAAAATCAAATGTCTTTGTCTTCTTGGAGCAGCAATAAAATTCTAAATTTATTATTATCCTCAAATACTCAGAAACTGTGATGAAAGTTTCACTAATCATGAAGTCAAATGGCACCAGTTGTGAACAGAAGCCTAAATAATGTGAAAGATTTGGAATAACCAAACCTGATCACAAATCATATATTTATTAGCTCATTCATCCTAAAAAACCCCTGGGTTTAAAATCAAAAATATGGATGATGCAAACCATCAGTGTGGTTTATTTTGTTTTGTGGAAGTCTTGTAGTCCTTGCTGCTCCATTTCCAATGAGGGAAATGGTTTACTCTTACTGAAATTGTGGCTGGAAAGAGTTTCCATCCATAATCTCTCAATGCAAATACATGTACACCCATTTCTACATGTCTGTGTTTATACACACATCTATCTATCCATCTACAGGTATGTAAATATTTTTATTTTAATCCCTCAAGCATGCAGTTCAGTCAGCCCAGCCTGCCCATGCACTGAAATGCTGGATTTGCAAGGCAGGGAACTAGATATTGGGAGAATATGTTCAAAATTGAATGGCCTATATAAGTTTTGTTTTATGCTAAGCTGGATGTGAAAAAATATCTCTTTCATATAAAATATTAAGAGGCAAAAGAGCAACAGTGGCAATGTAACTGAACAGCTTGTTTTATTTCAAATACCCTGGAGCAATATCTTTTTTTTCCCACTTGTACCCATCCTTTCATTCTCCAAACTGATTCTAAAAATAAGTAGTGTCAGTGTTCAAAGTGTTGTACAGTTTTTTTATATAACTGTTGTGTGCAAGATCATTGTTATTACTACATTAAGAAGAATTTGTATGTGTATATTTTTTGTCAGTTATCAAATGTGAAAAAAATGTTATGATATTCTAGTTAAGTAGGAATATCTTTCAATTGTTCATGATCAGTGAATGGGAACAGCTGATACTATAAACAGATCATATATTATTTCCTTTTGTGTCAAACATTTTCAGAATCATAACTCTTAATTTGAGGGGGAAAAAAGTAGACACTGGATAAAAATTCCTTCACTTTTATTAGTAAATTAAGATTCATAAGTAAGACTCATTTAAAAGCCTATTGGGCAAGAATGTTCCAAATATTGTGCTTAGAAACCTTTTCTTCATGGAAAGTGCAGGACAAAGAGGTAGGTTTGATCAACCACAATTATCTAAAGAGAGATTTTACTTTATATCTTCAGATGATTTATCTTAGAATATTCCTTTGCAGTGACAGCCCAAGAGCAGAAATGCACATGCAAGCAGTAACTGTACCTGTGACCACAAATGTAGGATGCAGCAAAATCTCATTTTCCCTTTGTGCTCCTGCAGTCTGGCATAATAAGGAAACTCAGAAATATTTCATGGTGCTCTGTGATGTAAGAACTATTTTTGTATCCTGAATGGATTTTAATGCCTTTGGAAGCAAAGTGCTCCTTGTCTATCTCCTGTGTACACAAAAATTCTGAATGTTACCAGACTGAGATAGGAATCCTGAATATTTAATGAGGATGTGCTACTGACAACTCAAAAAAAAGCAAAAGAGGCTGCACAGGATTATTTTACCCAGGACTATTTTACCATCTTTGTCCATCCTGTTCAGTATTTCAACCTTGCTCTCTAAACTTTTTAAAATGGCCTTTCATATTTTAAAGTGGGCTGGACATGACTCTGGTGATGTTGGCAGTGAACTCATAGCTGGATCTTTCATGGGATTTATTATTTTGTTTGGGGTTTTTGGTTTTTTTGGGGTATTTTTAATCTTGAAAGTCAGGTTTCACTCTAAAAGTAAATTCCATTCTGGTGGTTAATAAGGGTGAGTTCTTCCACCATTTAAGACAGAATTTGTTGGTGTTTTTTCAGTTTGGTTGACGGTTGTTGTTTTGGTTGGTTGGGTTTGTGTTTATTGGGGGTTTTTTGTTGTTGTTGTTTTTGGTGGGAAGGGGGTTTGGATGTTTAGGCTTTGTTGGTTTTTTTCCCCTTTTATTTGGTAATGATACTTCCACATTTTCTGAATTTAGTGCTGCTTTGAAGCCTGGATCTCTATCTGTTCATTTTCATTTTCACACAGTTTCCTTTATTTTTATTTTTTTTCTTCATTTTAAAGACAATAAAGATCCCAGATACCATCAAAGCTGTTACAGGTCTCCAGGAATATCTCCATTTCAGTCTCAGATGTGATGATATCTAAGCACTAACTGGGAACCTCTGTTCTCATCAGTATATACCATCAGGTGAATTTTTTTTTCTTTTGGGTGAAATTTGTTTGTTTGTTTCCCTTCCTTTTTTCACTTCCTGGGTCTTCAAAACAATTCCTGCTCCAGCTGGGCACCAAGGACAAATGACCAAATCTCAGCCCAGGAGCACAAACCCCGTGGGCTGCAGAGAGAAAAACAAGCAGGGTGGGACTGCCTGGGCTGAAGCTGGGACGGGACAATGAACTGCAAGGTGCAAATGGAGCAGAACTGATCCCAGGGACAGAGCCCGTGCCCGGCCGTGCATTTTGGGGCCATTTTGGTTCATCTTGGGTGCAGCCCTGGCTGGGCTCTGGTGCTGCCCAAGGTGGATCCACTGAGGAGATCCTTTGAATAAATCCCTGCTTTATTGTTAAATTCTGTCTATTCTCTGTTCTAGGACAGCCTTCCCAAGGTATCCAAAGGGGCTGAGCTGGTCCCTACATTGCTGCCTGTCTGCTCTCCCCCAGCTGGTTGAGGATTGACTGGCGATCACCCCAGGATCAAGGTACCCTTGGATTCTCTCCCTTGGCATGCCAGCAGTGGGTGCATGCTGTCCTTCCATGCCACGGGCTGTTCCAAGCTGCAGGAGCACCCCTTGGTGCCCAGCCCTGCGTGGGACTGTGTGTGACAGCAGCTGGGCACAGGGACGTGCTGTGTCTGTGTTTGGTGACTGTTCCGAATCTGGGTCCAACAATATTTGCTCGGGCACGGAGAAAGTCTGGGAATTTGATCTTGGCATGTGCCTGCAGCCAAAAATACAGTGCAGCAAGTGGGCATGGCTGAAATTCAGCCCTGTTATCCCAAATGTCACTCTGAAGGTTCTCAGAGACTTTCAGGCTCCCAGTAGGCTCAGTTGTGCCAGTGGTGTCTGAGTGTAATGAGCTGGACCTGTCAGAAGCAAGTCCCAGCCAGCACATTAATTCACTGCCTTTACACATGTGATTCTTTAAAAGATCTTTGTAAATGTGATTCTTTAAAAGATGTTTGTAATATAGATTTTTGTGATTTAGACTTTGAGTTACCACCCTCTGCAGTACCTGTCTCACAGTTTGTGTCCCATTAAACATAGCTGTGAGCATGCTTAGGAATGTAATTGAATTGATATTTAATTAAATACATTAATTGTTACTGGAGTGACTATTAATAGTCACTCAAGAAAACCAAATCACACGTGGGAAACAGTCTGTGATTACTCAGTGCTTTAGCAGAAGTCCCCTCAGTTTTTCTGTAAGATAATGTAACAAAGGCATCCACAGTGTGGGTGTAAACTGACATTTTGTTTGTTCAAGGAACAAATTGCACCTAGGCTGGCCCTCAACCCACAGTTCTCTCTTCAAAGTTTTCCTGTGTACATTGAAATGATAGCAGATGCCAAATTCAGCTTTTTAAATCGTACCTAGAGCGAATAGCCAATAGCTTCCTGATTCACCACTGCTGCATGCTTTGAACTTTGCAGGTAACTTCATTTTTGAGATTGAAATGCCTATTTTTATTTTATTTATTTTTAAATCAAGGGTGTTTAGATCAGTATCTGCTGCCTATGAAACTTGTTTGGGTTAAGATTTCATTACGAATTTGAAATGCCCCAGATTCATTTAAGAGGTTGTCTTAAAATACCTCTGATAGACTTGAGCAATTTATGATTTCAGAGCCAGCTGCTGACTACAGAGTAAAATCAAAACCACCTCACAATTCACAGTTTTGTTTGGCTTAAGGTTTAAACCCAGTTCACAGAAAGGAAGGGCTGAACTCTCCACCCCAAGATTTGTTCATCTCTTTTGCATCTGTAAAGTACTGGAGTGCAATTATTATTAGCAAACTAAAGGAAAATATTGCTTTTCTCCTATACAGGGCCCTGTTTTAACTAATAAGTCCTTCTGTAATTATTGTGGGGATGCTGTATTGCTAAAATATTCAAATATAAATTACAAGGAGTTCTCTGGGGGGAATAAGGAATCATGCTACAGTCATAAAGAGATCACAGTTTAAAACAACTAAATGCAGATAGATGGAAAAAGGAGAACTAAAATGTTTGGGATTTGTTCCTTTGTCTGCCCAGATACTCTTTATTTCATCAGTCTTTGTGGAGCAACTTCAGAGATGTTTCACATTCCCAAAGAGCAACTTAAATCTCAGTCAATGTCCACTTGTGAAAAGCAGATCTCATTTCAAAAAATGTGTCTAATATATTCTTTTACTCAAAATGCAGCCTCAGTTGTTGTTGACTTTTTTCTTATTAATTAAGAGAGTAATCATTTTTTTCACATGATGTGAAAAATTTTTCAGTTTCTAAAAAGGTACACTGCATGTAGGTTCACTTGGCCAGCAATGAACTGAAATGTGGCTGGAGCCCCTGCTCATGTCCTAAAGCCAAGAAAAAATTACACAGGATTTGAAAAGGATTATTAAGAGAATAAAACCCCACAAACATTACTTTCTTAGGATGAGATATTGCTAATTAGAAGAGGTGCAAGTAAATTTTCAAAAATATTGTGTAACAGTCAAAGGAAGTCGAGCATTTTTTGAAACTTTGCAAGTCTAGCTCATGATCTCTTGATTCTGGGTTCTTTTCACACAGCACTGAGTACATTTAGAAGCTTCCAAAATTAAAGGGGATTTTTTAATAATTCAACAGCCTAAATCCTAAACTGGAGCCTGTCATTTCACATTTTTTTAGTTACACAATGAAACCCGTAGGCTGCAAAAGAAGATCATGCAGTGCCCTGGATGCAGACCTCTCCTGCTGGCTGGGTAAGTATGGGGTAAATATGGAATGACTGCTGCCTGCCTGCCTTCTGTGGGTGTCACTTGTGTCCCCCCAGAAATATTGGGTGTCATTTGTGCCCCTCCAGAAGGATGAGGTGTCACTTGTGCCCCTCTGAGATGCTACAGAGTCACAGGTACATCTCAACTCCCACATTTGGTCACCACATGAGAACAACTAATTTGCTGCACAGAGGCACCAGGGAGGAGATGAAACTTCTGATTAATTGTTCAGATGTTTTTTCAGAAATTTAGAGTCACCCAAATCCTGAGCTCTTAAGAAGCAGCTACCAGTGAGGTAAAACTGCCAGGCTCTGGTGTGTGCCACAGAAACAAAGGGCAAACTAAGCAGTGTCACTTATCTGTGTCCTATCAAGAACTTCATAGAGGTGATGAACTTAAAATAAAGATCTCTAAATAATTTTCAGATTTTTAAGTCAGGCTAGACTATCCCCTAAATTTATTTTAGAAATGATTATTCAGGCAGTGCCAGTTAACAAAGCCTGATCCTGAAAGGACTTCAATCCACAGTGGTTATTTGTTGTTCACTTACTTCACACAAACCTTCTCTTAATCGATCATTCAGGTTTTTCTGGTCCTTAATCCTTAATGGTCCTTAATGAAATGTTCTTCACTGGCTTTTGCCAACTTCCTGAAATTGAAGAAAACAACAGCAAAGATCTCTCAAACAAACCTTAGTAGTTACTAACAACAGTGGGAGATATAGCATTATTAATTTGGCTGAAATAGGCCTATAAACAATGCAAATGGGGTGTTTAGGGGGTTATTTCTCTTTTGGAGCTCTCATCTGCCCTTCTGTGCATTGCAGCCTTGCTGAAGGATCTGCAGTTCAGCTGTTGGTGAGAGCAGCTGCCCTCAGTGAACGGTTCCTCCATTTCTCCTTCCTCCAGAAGAGTCCTCCAAAGTGGCTCATCAGCTTCCTCCTCAAGGAGTGAAAGGATCTGGGTGAAAGCACAAGGACATCAGCTTGTCAGGCCATCCACAAAGCCTTCCTTCAAATGTCTGGGAGCAAAGGGATGCCTGGACAGCGACGTGGTGCCACTGAGAGCCCAGACTCAGCTGCAGCCCTGGGTACCCTCCATTCCAAACTCAAGGGGCTGCCCCAGTGGGACAGGAGGGATGGATGGTTCCATGTCACAGGACTTCCACCAGAAAATAAAGAAGCCCTCATTTTCCATATCAGAGTGAGAAGGAGTGAGCTCTGACAGAGCACAAACCAGGCAGGATCAGTCCCTGTGCCTGTCACTGCTGTGTCACCCAGGCCCTGCCTTTCATTCTGAGGATTTATTATTTAAATCTTAAAATGCCTCTCTGAAACTCAGCAGAGATATTCCTGCTTTCAATAATACATTTGCAATAATGCTGTCCTCCCTCCTTCAGACCTCTGAAATCAAGCACTGCAGTTGACAGTTTTGTATGAATTAATGAAAAAGAAGTTGGAAGTGGTTGACCAAGATTTATTTATTGTTATTATTATTAAACTGACCGTGTATCCATGTTGCTCTTCTGAAAAGAAAATTAAGAGAAGGAACTGAAAAGAACTGATTTAGAATTTATTCTGTATGTAAATCAACAGGGCACAATTGTAAGTATCAAGGCTTCTGGTTTGAGGTGAAAATTCTTGCTCTAAATTCTAAGATTGCTTTCCTAGTATTGCTTAACATGCTGAGAGGATGTGAAAATGGATGTTTCCACTACTGGGAAAACAGAAGTCCAAAGCTGGTCACTCAATAGATAAAGGTTAACTATTATTTAATCCTTTTTGTTTAAAAAGAAAATTATTAATCGTCTTGGCAATGAAACCCTAAGACACAAAACAGTAACATTCCTGCTGAATATTTTATTGCATACCCTTTATGATAAAAATCTAAAATGCAAAATCTTCATGATCCAAGCACAGAAGTGACACCTAATCTTCCTGAAGCACTCTGGAACGTGTTGAGTTGGAAATACGAGTCCTCTGAGCCTCATGCTCCATTTGCATGCACTCCTGTTTCACAACCCTGCTTCCTTCAGCACCTCAGCCTTCCCCAGAAACTCTGTGCAATTTGTCTCTGGCCATCTGTGGCAACAGCCCCAGGCAAGGAGAGGGCGAGGAGCTGCCAGCACTGGCCAGCCAAGGGCTTGCATGGCCATGCCAGCTCAAACACAAGTGCTTCCTCTTGCTGCTTTCCTGCTCCTGAGGCCAGCCAGCCAGAGATGGAATTTCTGCATTCCTGGAACACCTGGAGTGGGCTCTCAATGCTCACAATTATCCTCCCAGCCCTCTGCAGGTGCGGGGCAGGTTCTCTGAGAACACAGCTCTACAGTGGATAGGTTCACCTATAAATCTCGGTGAAACACATGCCACAGGATTTAAAATGTGTTTTTATTTTTATAATTTTTGCTGAGAAAGCAATAGCAGTTGGAATAATGTTACATTATAAGGTTGTGAAGCCTCGGGCAAAATCTCCAGCTCTTAGTAAATGCAGGGCTTTCTATTACAATGAAAACCTTCATGTCAGCATCTTAAGCTGCTGGGTCACTTATGCCTTTACAATCTACATCGCTCAGGCAGTTTTTATCCCTTCTCTCAACACAGGCTTCCACTTCTCAGGCATTTGTCTTCACCCACTATAGGACACAAAATAAAACAATGCGGACACTGGAACTTCTAAGGTAACAAGAAGAAAGTTAAATTTCTGACTTCAATATTTAGATTTTCAAAAGTGACAGTGGATTGGAGGATGGCAGTGCCACCTCTCCAATGACACTGGACAAGTCACCAGTCTATCAGATTTTTCCTCCTCCAGAAAGCAATGTAAAACAATATTTACATAAAACTGCGAGACAGTTTGTTAAAGAATGTAAACATCAGAAGGCTTAGAAGAACAGGGTAATCAGACAGACTGTCAGCCGACCCCTTGCTGTCCTCACCTGGCAGGGCAGCTCCAGGAGCCCCTTCCCCTGTGTGTGCCAGCTGCTGCTGTGGGGCACGCTGGCTGTCAGACAGGCTCTGAGCCGTGGGAGCCACGGGCTGCTCCTCCTTTGGCTCTGCACGCCTTGCTGCACAGATGGTGAGCATGGCACGCGCCGCCCACTTGTCCTTCTGCGCCTCTCTCCATATGGTTCTTGTGCTGGACCTGCAAACAAATTGCAGCTCTTAGTGGGGCTAGGAAATTAATTTCATTAAGCTCAGCGAAGCTGCTGTTAAAATTCCTCGTGTTCTTGCACTGGTGTGAATGGCTGTGTGTGTCAGGTCAGATTGAGATGGGGATTTGCAGCTCCCTCGATTTTACTGGAGTCAAACCCACCTGTGCTATGCCTAAAGCTTACTCTGTGGTGTGTCTGTAAGCCACTTTAGCATACAGGTGAGTTCCTCATTTCCCCAAGAAAATAATCTCATGACAGGTGTGAAATCATGCAGCATTAATATTGTACATGCATATTTCATAATATCTGTAAATATGCACTGCATAATATCTGTACATGTATATTCCATAATATCTGTACATGTACATTTCATAACATCTGGAAATGTTCACTGCATAATATCTTTACATGTACATTTCATAATATCTGTACATGTATATTCCATATCTGTACACGTATATTCCATAATATTCCATGTAGAATCTGTAACGTACATTTCATAATATCTGTACATGTATATTCTATAATATCTGTACATGTTCACTGCATAATATCTGCAGAAGTTCTGATACTTCACAGATCACAAAGTCTTGGAAATGGACAATGTCACTTGCTGCTTTTGGTGGTGGGTAGGGGAGACAGTATTAAAGCAATCTGATATGAAAATGGATGAATGATTTATATTTTGATGATCGATTCGGTTGTATCCTCTTTGTGCTTAAAAGGAACTGATTAAAAATGTCAAGATTTCAGGATCTAGGATGACATCTGCAAGGGAGCCTGTAAATGTTCACCAGTCTAACTTTCATTGTAAAACTTAGTTCTCGCTGAGACTCAGTGTCAAAGGCCAGAATCATTTCACAGATTTTTTTTTTTTTAATATATTTGAATATATTTGTTTCTCAGTTAGCCACTTGGGACCAAATCCCCAAGAAGGAGCTGCAACATGAGGGAATCTCTGTATTGTGGGCTGTCCAGGCTGTTGAAGGTGCTATAACACTGATTTAGGGCTCAGCTGCATGGCTAAAATGCAGCCCAAGACAGAAATGAAATTTCCATCTTGGGCTGGTGGAATTCCTCAAGAGCCACCAACAGTCCCTGCTGAGAGCTTCTGCTGCCCAGCACATGGGGCAAGAATGTATATTGTGGCTCCTGGCCATGTGAAGGTCTGGGTGTACAGCTCATGGAGCTGTGGAATCTGGCAAACACAAAAAGTAGGGATATTCATGATGGAGACACCTGTCCCTACTCCAGTGGTTACTTTATGTATTTTAAATATTTTTTTAAATCTTATTTTCAACATTTACACTATAAATCTTCTATAAACCAGCCTCTGGAACAGGGGCTGGGATCCAGGTGTCTCTGCCCCTCACTGAATGTTCCTACCACAAGGCCACGGTGCCACACTCACTGCTTCTCCCTTTTTACCACAGATATTTTTTATTTATTTATACAAAGTGAAACAGATTCACCATCAAGGCTGGCAAGATGAACAAAATATTCCATGGGCAGGAGTTTAAAGCCCAGTGGAAGAATGAGAGGAATTTGCTACCCAGCCCTCCATCCTTGGTGAGTGGTGATTTTGGGAAGCTGCCCCATGTGCTCACCACATGCCTCTGGGGTTTTTTCTCAGGTGACACAGGTGGAGGAACTGTGCTTGAGAATCCTTCCAGGCATGACTTAGACACGGAAAATTCAGCTCTGCTGACACTGCAACACTCCTGGATGAGCCCAGAAGTGAAACTTTAGCACCTGGTTTAACACAAGAAGCAGAGCACTGTAGAGGTAGCTGAAGAATTTTTGGATGCAGGCACATTAAGGTAAACAATCTTTGAAAATCCCACTAAATACTTATTTGCATCTCTAGATACTTATCTAGCTACAATAATTTGATTCCAGATCAATTAAGAACTAGTGTTTCTTGAATATTAAGGCTTTGCATTACATTTATTTTTCACTCTAAAAGAAACTTCCTAACATGGCTCAGAGGGGGATTTTCATTAATAAGTTATTAACGAGCCTGTACTTTTGATTGAGTGCATTACATGTCAAGTGAGAACTGTTTCAATGAAATTAATTTTTTTTTGGCTAATCAGTAGAATGAGTATTCGTTCTTAGCTTCCCTTTACTCAGAGAGATTTGGTCATTTTCCTTGAAAGACACTAGTTAAAATTGACTTTCAGCCTACATTTCTGTTTCTCAGCTGTTTAAGCAGAACTCATTTTTTCAGTCTTACTAGGAAAAGATGCTTTGAAAATTATTTCCTAGGAAAAACGTTGCACACTTTTATACATACTTATAAATCACAAAATCAGAAAGCATAAAACTGAGTGTGCTTACAGAACTACTCAAAAATGGGAGTAATTTGCAGACATTTTTTGATACTGTTAGCTCTGGAACACAAGATAAAATGGAACAGACACCAAAGACAGTATTCAGGTTAGTAAATATCTTGATTTTTGTGTTGTCTCCCAGAACTGTAACAAAACAGCTTATGTGAAAGAGCGTTGAAATTCCTGTTGGAGGAACTTGTGACTTCCTTGTATTTCTACAGAATATTTCCAAGAATTAGGAAAAAAACCTAAAAGAACAAAACCATCAGATAAAAAAAAGAGACTGAGAGAGTACTTGGTGTTTAGGGATCAATGAGCTTGATAGTCCAGTCAAATGGAAACTTATGAGAAATAGGGGCCCATCCGACAAAAATTTATGTATTCACTCAAATCTGTTGAGTGAGAAGTTTTTTAAGTTAATCTTTAAAAAACAAAACAAAACAAAAAAAACAACACAAAAAAAGAGAAATAGTGGAAGAGTTAAACTTATTCAGTGATCAGAAAACTAAACACCATTTGAAGCACAAAATAACCAGAGGCTCCTGCGCAGATTTGAACCAGCCAGTGTACTTGTAATTACTACTTTTAAAAGAAGGTGAATATTTGCTTTCCAAACCAGTACTTCAGGTGGCTTCAAGATTATAACATACAGAATGTTAAGAAGTTATTCTTTTCCTGAACCTAAATTTATGAGATAAATTTATGGCATAATTATTTAACGGTAGCAAAAATAAACAAACCAAATTTTGGGATGGTCATTGAAGTATTATGAAGGTTGGCATCTTTAAAAAAAATAGCAAACAGAGTGCTTGTAATCATGTTGCTATAGGACATTTCTTTCAAAATATCAGGTCACTGCTAAAAGTTTGTTTCACAGCTCAAAGCACAGGTTTTTCCACTGACCAGGATTCACTATTGCAGCAAAAACCTCTGCATAATGTGAATTCTCAGTTGCAATGAAATGGAATCACTCTTTGAAAATGAGATTCCCTCCATGGGCATCATCAAAAATTTTTCCATTCACGTGTATTTTACGAGAGCTTGGAGTGACAGAACAAGGAGAAATGGCTTCAAACTGACAGAGAGTAGGTTTAGATTGAATATTAGGAAAAAATTCTTTACTATGAGGGTAGTGAGGCTCTGGCACAGGGTGATTCTGATGTGGCTGCCCCATCCATGGAAATTTTCCAGGCCAGGCTGGATGGGACTCTGAACAACCTGGAGTAGTGCAAGGCTTGGAAGGAAATGACCTTTAGGATCCCTCCCAACCCAAACCATTCCGTGATTCTACTGAGGAAAGATACATAGGCAAAAAAAAAAAAAAAAAAAAATTACAAAATATAACCAATGAAAGGCTCCAGTCACACTCTTTCCTCTCCAGAATCAGAATTTTACTCTTTAGCATGATCATTCATGTAAGTTAAAAGTAATCCTTTCCATTCTGAACAATCCTTATTTTAAAACATAAAGTTTGTGTTTTCTTTAAATGCCTCTGGTGGAAGTGTAACAGAGACTGAAAACTCACTTCTATGCTTGGAAAAAATCTGAATCAGCCTATTCTTTACAGTGCATGAGGATTCTAATTGTTTTCCTAATACAATAATTGGAATTCTTTCTGTGCACACCACAATGAAAAGCAATGGAAATTTTCATAAATTAATAAATTTGATTTGTCATCAAGTGGATGTTCTCCACAAAATGAGACTTAATTTTTACTCATTACATACCTCAGTAATGTATTTTACATTCCCCTTATGAAGAAAACCTTGAAATGGTGAATTAAATAAGACACATGCAGTGTGGGTGTTGTGAGTATGCCTGCACTCAACTCCAAAATAATATTATTTATTTCTTTGCTGAAAATGGTATAAAAACAGTCTAATTCACACAGTAAACATGTTTCAATGCCACATTCTCTATTAAAATCATGAATCAGCGAGATAACTCACACATTAATTTTTTTACTATATATTATTCTGGATGCTTAATGAGTTACATGAAAAATCTTAATTTTCTAAACTTTCAATTGAATTTCATGTGATAGTCTGTGAAATGCTACTGAAGTCAGAAATGCTCATATTTGTAAATAAGCATATTTTTAAGTGCTCCAGTAAACAGATAAATCTGTCATGTAATGTACTGGTCAGTACCTAAACTACTGAGGATTTTAATGACTTAGAAATGTTGTAAAATAATTTGATATCCTAACACAGAAAACTAGCATTAATGTCCAGAACATTACCACCATGTGTAGGTTTTAATCACAGTACATTTCACAAATTAGGCAAATTTAACTTTACTCAGTCAATTAATATTCAGTGGCATTATAAAAATTTATACAGACTTATTCACGTGCACAGTCGTAAGAAGTTGAGGAAAGTTTAATGACAAGGAATGAAAGAAAAAAATCAACAAAAAATGTAAGAATAATTAGCATAAGTATAGACCAAGAGTGGTAAAGCTGAAAATGTATGAACAGGACTCATCATTCCCCACCCCATGGCACTCTTCAGTAGGACATGGTGCAGAATTTACTTCACTTTCACCATTGCTCCTTTACCCCCAGAAGAGCATCTCACTTCAGCTCAATCCCAGCCTTTCTGCAGGATTTGGGACTTTTGTTGTGTTGCACCTCTGTTTTTGGGGGGAAGAGTGTGTACTGTTATGGGAAGTGGCTATACATGTTTCTGGTGGTTTCCCAGAGCAGCTGTGGCCCTGTGACCACAAAGCAGCAGCAGCATGAGAAGAGACTGCAGGGAGGGGTGGGGAAACCAAACAAAAAACAAGTGCTGGTTGTCTGATCTGAGAGTTGTGCTAGATCTCACATTTCCATTGTGAGATCTCTCCTCCTCTCCTCAGTGGTTGGGAAAATCATTGTTTCTCCCTATGGATGGAGAATTGTGTTTTGTGTGGATGCCTAAAGTCCCCGGAGAGGATTAGGTAAAGTACTGTTACTAATGACATGTCAAATTCACTTCATCTTCTTCACCAGTGACTAAAGATGAAGTGATTCTGAGATAGATGATTATGTCCAAAAATTCTTTACACCTCCTTCTCTTCACTATCCATTTCCTTCTCTTTGTTGTCCAGAGCAAACTGCTTCTGCTTTTTTTTTTCCTTCAGTTAAAGTCAGTTCACCTTTATTTTCTTAGAGACCTTTCTGGGACAGTAGAAACCCATGAAACTTCCTGGGTTTCTCTCCTTTGCAGTCTCCAAGAAGTCTCCACCAACACTATGGAAGATTGTGCTGCAAATAGAAAGTAGAAGGGGTAATTTCTGCTTTTCACTGGAGTGTGAACTGCTGTTTCTCTGGTGAATGACTGATACAGTGACCTCATCCTATGGAATGGTTCCCATTTTCTTTGGGTTGTTATAGGCGCCTATTCATCAAAAGGAGGCTGAGTCTGCAAGTGCCAAAATGATGCAGCACCAGAACTTCAGGAAAGTCTTGAGCTCTTGACTATTTGCAGGGGTAGAGAATAAGAGAAACCTCCAGA